AGAAAATATTAAACAATCAGAACTACAACTGGATAAGCAGAAAAATAAAAAAGAATTAGAAAAACAGTACACAGTGTATAAAGCAGAGTTAGACAAACTATACGTAACCAAAATACGTGGTAGGGTCAAGGGTCAAATGGTTCGAGGAAGGAGAAAGAAATACCAAATATTTCTTGGGATTTGAAAAGAAAAACTTCAAGTCAAAACAACTGAATAAATTGAAATTAGGCAATAATATTATTTCTTATCAAGAACAAATATTAAAGTTTTATAAAGTTTTATATGATTCAAAAAAAGTAAAAGATACGGAGTTGGAGAATTATTTGGGTAGAGTAAAAACAAAAAATAAACTAAAACAGAGAGATGCGGATGAATACGAGGGGCTTATATCGGAAGAAGAGTGTAGAAAGGCAATTGGTAATATGAAAACAAATAGTACCTCAGGATTAGGCGGTCTTCCGGTTGAATTTTACCGTACGTTTTGGGAGGAGCTAAAATATTTAGTAGTCGACGCGTTGAATGACAGTTACGAGAGGGGCGTTATAGCGAAGTCGAAATGCAATGCGTTAATTACAATTATTCATAAGAAAGGACTGAGAAGCGTCCTGCAAAACTGGAGGCCAATATCTTTATTGAATCAAGATTATAAAATACTATCTACTGTGCTTGCCAGTCGACTTAATAGGGTATTGCCTCTAATAATAAGCAACGATCAAGTCGGTTACATGAACGGGCGATATATTGGGCAAAATGTGCGACTTATAGAGGATGTCATAGAGTTTGTTGAGAAAAAGAAGAAAGAAGGCGCTATTTTATTTCTTGACTTTTATAAGGCGCTTGATTCTGTAGAACACAATTTCCTGTTAGCAAATCTTAAACAGTTCGGATTGGACAGACTTTCATTGGATGGATAAAAACTATTTATAGCAAGTGCAGAAGCGCTATTGTGAACAACAGATGGATCTCTGTCCTCTTCGAGGTTAAACGAGGAATTCGTCATGGATGTCCCCTGTCAGCTCTGTTGTTTTTAATCGTTGCCGAAGTTTTATCTCAAATTGTTAAAAATGACCCAGATATTAAAGGATTTATAGTGAATGATGGGAAAATAGAACAGGGAAATAAAGACTAGCCAGTTGGCGGACATTTAATTTACATAAAAACAAATAAATCTTTAATGAGACTGTTTAATATAATTGACGAGTATGGCAAATATGCTGGGTTAAAATTGAATAAACACAAAACGGAAGGACTCAAGTGGAAAAAGAGGAAGGACTCGGGTATTATATCCTGGCCAAATTCGCCAATAAAGGCACTTGGCATATATTTCGGCCATGGTAAAAACGAAAAAACAAACTAAATTGGGATGGCAAGCTAGAAAATAGTGGAACTGTACTTCAAAACTGAAAAAAAACATGTTTAACAGTATTTGGTGGAATAACTGTTCTAAAACATTAATAATCTCTTTAATTACATTCACAGCATCAATGATTGTCATTCCCAGACATGTCATAGCCAAAGTTACAAAATTGGCTTATGATTGTTTGTGGGGTGAAAAAAGAGGGAAAGTTAATCGTGGAATTGTGAATAATAATAATAAGATAGAGAATGATTGATATTGAAGCAACGATAAAAACATTAAAATGTACAAGGCTTCAAAAAATTATTTCTGAAAGGGTGCTGCCTGGACTGCAATTATTTAGCTTTTTTCAGTGAGTTTGGGGGAGTGACATCATGTTCAGATTACATTTAAATAGGGTAATGTTAAATAGAATAGTTTTTACCAGATTTCTATAAGAATGTACTTACTAGCTGGTATGAATGTAAACTACATGTTAGAATTATGAAACCGACTCCATTAAAAGAACGAATAATTTGGGGGAATCACCAGATAACAGACAATGGAGGGGGGTTCATATTACAAGGAATTTATTGAGGTTGGTTTCATAAGTATAGCTGATTCATTATTAAAAGGCAAGTTCTTAGATCAAAACTACCTTTTAAACAAGCTCTTAAATAAAACAAAATGGATTACACAGTACTTGTCATTGAAGAGAGCAATACCTAGACATTGGCATGATATAATGAAAAACTGACTTTAATGCTAAAACTGATATTTTTGAAGGCCAAAGCCATGTAAAGAGGATTATTGGTGCTTTACTTTAAAATCTATGGAAACATCATATGCCCCGTTAATTTGGAATAAATTAAAGGTTGCTGAAAAAATTGGAATGAAATTTGGAATATCAAAATTTAAGAAAATGCCATGCAAAAAGATCGCCCAATTTAATTACATTGCACGTGCGTACAATCTTTGTAAACCATTTTAGTTGGTGTAGGCACTGTTGGTTCAGAATCAGAAACACTTAATATAATAATTTCTGTAGCGGCTTTTGCTGTCGATAAGTCAAAAATTATTAATCAGAAAAATATAAAGAATATTTTAGTAAAAGAATTATGGTATATCAATTATAGAACAAAAAAACTTATTCTAGGATTTTTTCGTGTCATATAACATTAATATTATTTTCATTATTGATAGTATTCCACTTTTTTTCTATTATATATTTTAAAAAAATACAGAAATGTCATAGCTTTTTTTAATCGTATTATGATTTCTTATTATCTGTTAAAAACAATAAAAAAAATATTACTATAAATACGGTTTACATGGGATCAACCTGACAACATACAAAACTAAACTAAAATGTGTTTATTTTACATGTACTCGTTTAAATATGATAAAGATTAAACACGATTCCTATTTGTTCACTAAAAAAGTAAAGGGTCTTTAATTTATTTATATGTTTATTATGAGCTGTACGAAATACATGCAAATATATGTTTAATTATTATCATAATACAATCTGATAATAGCCCACAATCAGAAGTAGGGTTCATAGTTCGGCGCTTTTGACACTACAAGGACAGATATCTAAAAGTGGGTCGTGTCACCGCTGACTGACTATTTGATATTTGGGTGATGAATGAACAATACTACTACGTTGCCGGGATTAGAGTTTGACGCTTCAATTTGTGAATTCCAGTCACTGGCTACGCGGAATTGCGACGATTTGACTAGCGTTGGAAGACGTAAGGTAGCAAATATTCCTACACATACACACACACAGTAATTAGTCCTGTGCTTTTAGTTATACTATTTGTGTAACTTTACAGAACTGACCAGTTTATTATATATATATATTTCACAAATATGTACTTGTTGTCTTGTTGTAGGATCGTTACGGTCTTGTTGTAGTATGGGCATTGCCTAATTTTGTAAACCTCCATCTCTTATCAACTGGGTACTCGCAATGGTATATAGATAGGACCGCCCTGCTTAGCACTGAACTGTAAGAAGGGCGGGAGATACAGTAACTTAATGTACCACAATGCTGTGAGGATGAAGAAAATTCCATCCCAGATGGCTGACGTTGTTCTCCCATGTTTTACGTCTGTTTGAGTCTAAAGGAAATCTGTGCACTTTGAACCCATTGTCCAGTCTATTTGTGCATTCAAATGCACAATGACCCGGCATTTTCAGTGAACAAACTCATAGATTTATGTGGTAGATTCGAACTGCACAAATACGTGAAAGTGCAGACTGGAAAATATAGTCCACAATCAGAAGCAGGTTCCATAGTTTGGCGCTTTTGACACCATACGAACAGATATCTACAAACGGGTCATGTCACAGATAACTGATATTCGATATTCGTGAGATGAATGAACAGATGTCTGGGTCAAATAATGATTGACCCAATAGACTGTGTGACGTCATGGTTCAAAACATTTTGCTTTTTATGACCCCGATAGCTGATCCATGCACTAATATTATCAAAACCTGCGTTTAAAATCAAAGTCTAGGAAGTCTGAAGTCAAATTGGGAAGGAAGCCTGGTGCTACGTTGTCGAGATTAGAGTTTAATGCTTCAATCTGCAAATTCCAGTCGCTGGCTAATTAAAATTCAACCCTCTAGGGCATTGCGACGATTTGTCGCACGTCGGTAAACGTCAGTTAGCAAATATTCCCCTACACACATACACACACACACACACACACTGGTCAGTCTTGGGCTTTTAGTTATACTATTCGTGTAACGTTATAGAACTTGGCATTCTCCTGACCAGTTTATTTATGTATTTCATAAATATATTCGCTGTCTTGTTGCAGGATCGATTCCGATCTTCTTGTAGTATGGACATTGCCTAATTTCGTAAACCACCACCTCGTATCAACTGGGTACTCGCATTGTCGGCAAACCATTCAATACATTTCCAAATGAAGTGTTCATCGTGTGGATTTGCTAAGCTGAAATGAAAAATAAGCAGTCCGTGATTGTAACATATATTTTGTATATTGTATACACTTCGAATACAAACACGTTGCATACATCATGCTTACATGACTCAAGAGCCGATCTTTACATTTGACCTAAATTGGAACAGAGATTGGAATATTGTTTGCAAGAGCCTATTTGGTCCCGACAGGTGGGATTACACAAATTCCTGCACAACTCGTTAATATTTTTATACTTTAATCTGTCTAAGAGCAGCCCTCAGTTATTATATTATTGCTAGTTATTACTTAATAACAGAAAGCAATTTAATACAAAATTTATTTTCGTGTAACCTGGCATCATGAAGTATATATATGGGAGTGGCTCAACCCTTCTCCACCTTCACTTGTTTTCACTCTGGTGCGTTAATGTGCTCTGAAAGTCAAGTGGGCTTGAATTTGTATTGGGTCAGAGCCTACACACACTAATACCTTCTAATGAAATGTTACTGTACATTTATGGTAGTTGTTTCTCAGGGGGGAAATATATTTCTACCAATATTAGCTAAGTAGTTCTGCCTTGTGTTGTGTTGTGTTACGTTGTGTTGTGTTGTGTTTGTCGTCTATGTTTTTCCGGTATTTACTGATCTTGCCAGTTTGTTTATTTTTTCAGAGTTTAAATCTTGATATTTTGTGATATCAATACCAACATTGTTTCAGAAACTATGGCAACAACGTCAGATTATTTAGCCGACAATCTCTATCAATATCACCAGAGTTTTCAAACTATATTGAATTATGGTATGAGATCCAGGGAACACCGTTACAAGGAAGATGCGATAAAAACGGTTGCCAAGTTACGACTGGAATCTTGCAACGAAGTACACGTTCTTTCTATTGGATCCGCGAATGGTACGTTCCCAAGTGTTCGTTTTATGAAAGTATTTGTGCATAATACACTCAGCGAATCTATTTTGAGACAATGTCACTAGATAAACACTCTCATCACTAATGAGTGAAATTTGGATGATAAATTTAACTGTCGAATGAATTTGGATGCATGTTTGTGTTTAGTTGTATTTTACTTATTTAGATTGTACTTGTGACTACTTAAGATTTCTCAAATTTCGTAAAGATTTTGTTCACAGCAATTCGTGAGAAAATAACTATTAGTAGAGCCACCGTCCTCTTTAATTTAACAATTTACATGACTCACATAAAACGTAAGTCCCTTATTAGAATGTTTAATGTTATCGAAAAGTGTTTTTCTGTCTTTGTTACAAATTCACATAGCTTTTTATGTGGCTTAACAATTATAGCGTTACATGCTATTTACCTGCAAACTTCATCAAACATTTTAGTTTATTACGAATGGTTCTCATGTCCACCAAAATCTGGATTTGTTGTTTTAATTATGACGTT